ATTCCACGCATTTACTAACATTTTCCATGTATATTTCTACTCATTTCAGAATTTTTTACGCGTTTTCAAATAAGAGCGGTTATTTCTACAGGAAACGATTGATCTTTACATGTATAGCTTTGCTTTTCTACTCCAACTCGATAAAGCTATCAGAAGAAAACTATTACCCTGTTACATAAATAAATAAGACAACCCACTCAAATTTCTGTATCTAACTGTGTAAACATTCCAAATAGAGTTTCTATTTTAGATTTCTTTTAGTCAAGAACATTATGAATGTATGTATTGAATGTTTTAATGTTATATTATAAAAGGCTTATGCATTATTATGATTCTAGGGACTGGAAAACTTAAGTGGAAACATTGTAGTGATCAATGAATTTCCTTCCTTTTCTATCCTTTGAAAAAAGAAACCAGCGATGGATACATTCGAATTTATGCATCTTCTATATGACAGATAGACAAAAAAACTTGTTGTAACTGAACTGATAGAAAACATTATTGAATGATGATGGGCGGTAAATAGTGACTGCTAGAAACATTAATAAAACAAGTTTGTTTTGAAAGATTACAAGTTGAATAGATGTTAAAAAGAAATTTGTTGCAATATTGTACAACCGATTATATTCATCTCTTACTACGATAAAATTTATAGTATCGAATAAGGCTATTATTATTGAATAGTTTAATCTTATTGTTCTATGACAACTAAATAAGTTATGCTTTAAAAGCGAAGATGGATAGTGGCTAGCAGTAGAATCTAAGAGTTATTCACTCAGGGACTCAAGATTCAGGTACGTCCAGCTAACGAGTCTGAAATAGGACAAAACGCATACTTTAAACTCCACCGCTAGCCACTATCCATCTTTTATTAAAAAGCTTGTAGCTGAACGAAATATTGAATCAATTCCCACAGGATGCACATATACCAACAAGAGACTGATCAATAGCAGTCATAAGTATCAATGAGAAGATACAAACAAACAATACCAAGTGAATCTAAGTTATACTTTATCCTCATTTAGATTTGATATTATCAACCAATAGTTTATTGATCAAAGTCATAATCAATTGTACTCTTGTTATATTTGGATGCACATATTGAGGAAAGCACCCAACTGCGTCACAAGACAAGCCCTCACATGGAATTCTCAAAAACAAAGAAAAAGAGGAAGACCAAAGAACACATTACGCCGGGAAATGGAGATAGATATGAGTAAAATGAACAAGAATTGGATAGAACTAGAAAGGAAGGCCCAGGACAGAGTGGGTTGGAGAATGCTGGTCGGCCGCCTATGCTCCATTAGGAGTAACAGGCGTAAGTAAGTAAGTGTATTTGAATGATAGTTATCCATTGGCTAGATTAATTGTGTAATCAATCTTTTCTTTTTTCATTTATTTTTCAATTTTATATTTTCTGAAAAAAATAAAACTGGATATGTTGAAATATGATTGGTTGAAAATTAAAAAAATAAAAATAAAATAAATAAAAGGGTTTCCTAAATCAAAAAGAAAGTATTCACGGAACGTACATGAGCAGGAAAATCGATGGTTCAACCATAACGATATACATTAATGAATTACACTTTACTTCTATCTGAAGTTTGTACTGATGATGTTCAGAAGAACGATGAAAGCTCCATGATCAAATCAACAAAACTTCATCAATATCATTCACCTGAATTACAAATCTTCATCATTTCAAAATTACAAAAATAATAAAAATTCTAATTTCTTTATATCTAAAAATAAAAGAGAAGTAAAGAGAAATACTTCTTTGAAATTCGATTTTCTTCATAACTTTACATGAATAAATATTTATTTTACAATAAAAAAAACACTAATCAAGTAGTGTAGTGTGTACTATTAATGTCAACAGATATAAGTAGTATGTGTCGTCGATTGAAAGTGAAATGTCTTGTGGCAGAAGGTTAAGAAGATCAAGGAAAAGAGAACGAGAACAGACAATGATTGGTGTGGAAACGAAAGAACAATGAAGTGTGAGACGATCGATCGACATTTTGTAAATGAAGTATTTACTGTATGGTTCTCAAATTTTAGTAAGATGATCTGTAATTTGAATGTTCAAATACATTCGATTGTTCCCATTTATGTTCCCGTTTACTACAGTGTTATTGGGATGCATGAAAAAAATACTGTAAATTCACGTGTACCCGTAGAAATTATGTCTAATGAATAAGGATATGATATGGAATGTAAATGAAGAGAACACGCTAATTGTTATATCCAGACTAATTAATATTAAGTGAATTTCAACATGTAATCAAAGAATTGAAGGACTATCTCATAGACAAATAATATAGAGAAAACTATAATAAAAATAACCCCATTGGGTGTATAATTTCTATTTCACTAACAATTGTTTACAGAAAACAGTGAAATTTATTTGTAGTGAACTAATAGATAGATTTATAGAAACTGGAATTTACGTGGATATTATAGTAATTTGATATTTGAATTCATGAGTCATTTGAAGCTAGACCACCATGGAGAACCTGGAGGTTGAATCGTGGATGTGAACTGCTGAGGGATCCCATACTAAAACGAAACGGCCGTCCAGTGATTCCAGGTTCTCCATGGTGGCCTAGCTTCAATCGACTCATGAATTCAACTTTTAAACTACTATAATATCCACAAAACCCCTTTCTGATTATAATAATCATATGCCAGCTAGTGACGGTCTCTAAGAGGTATTTCCTGGAGTTCTAGTGAGATACAGAGACCAGTGAAGTTCAACCGGGTCAGTTGTGAGATAGTAACCCACTGAAGATAATAGTGGACGGTGTCGTAATTTCGTGAATTAGTCGGAGTTGGACATTAACACCATTGAATGCTGGCTCGGTGGCCTAGGGGTTAAACGTTCGCACACAAGACTGATAGGTCGTGGGTTAAAATCTCGCTATGCAGGATCGTGAATTCGCGCTGCTGAAAAGTCCCATACTAGAACGAAACGGCCGTTCAGTGTTTCCAGGTTTTCCATAATGATCTAGCTTCAAATAACTCATGAATTCAACTATTTAATTTTTTTATTATTAATATTCGACTTATTAAAAAATATTGTTAATTCGTTTATTAAACATTATATAATCTCGTAATTCTTTGATTATATCTTTGAATGCATTCAACATTATTTCTTTTGATTATAATAATTACCATATTCTCTTCCCCGTTTACAATTCTGATTATATCATTAATCATTTGATATAATTGTCATGGATACTTGTGAATTTACAATTTACAGTTTATGTATCACACTAAATTAAAGTGAATTATGATTAGCTCGATTTTCATCAGCTTTCGAGTCCATAATCCCATATCCTCAGGAGTTTGTATAATCTCTTTGGACAACTAACTTTATTATTCAAAATATTTCTAGTGCTTAATTCAAGTGATAAAATGCGTAAGAATTTTTTATCATTGGATAAAATTTATCAGCTTGATAACATATAACTAATATATCTACCAGGAAAGTCCTACTCACTGCCTTCCCGCACTATGGGTGTTGTTTACGAAATTGAGAGGATGGAAAGCGAATGTTCGGCGCTTTAACCGGGTTAGTGGACACGGAGAGTTCACATAGGGGAGTTGGAAAACCCTCATTCCAAACCAATGGTGCACATGGGCTCCAGTATCCTGAAGGAACAAATAGCGTATGGTCACCAGCTACCATGAAACTGCATCTTCTTACGATACTTCACTGCCTTGTGGATCAGACATTTATATCGAAGGCTCTAGGTGTGGCTCTCTAAGAAAACTACGTGCATCGGTTTGTGCACTCGGGCAGTATCACAGCCTTCACACAAATCGAATGATTTATGTGGCGCATATGTGTTTGGTGCCTCCTTGTATCAATATCTATGTGTTCAAATAATAATAAATAAAATAAATGATACTTTATTTATATTTCTAATAGTTTGTATTTCCATGTTAATGTTAAACATTGTAAGTGGTCAGTCTCTGTCAATATATATATAGATTCTGAACCAACTGTCTCAAAACTGTCGTTTAGTTATAAGTTTCAAGATTGACTACTGGCTACCAGTTGGGTCTAGAATGCCTGTTTTATCCCATTTGGAACTTGGCACGTAGACCTCTATGTTGATACTCACAATGAGACTCGCTTTTGATATAATTCACCTTAAATACCAATGTGTTATCCACTGAGCCACTGGTAAAATACAATTTTTTACATATAGAACATACACTAATTGCATAAGATAGTTGATATCTCGACTCAGTAACTCAGTGAGTAACGCTTTGGCGATTGAAGCAAATAGGATTTAGTTCAAGTTTCAGTTTGGGAATCAAAGTTGAGATTTAGGCATAATCAGCTAATGAGCCTCAAAGAAAAGGAAGCATTCATTGTAGATTCTACTGAGAGCTACTATTCAATTTCAATAAGACGTTTCTTTGAAGTTCATAAAACATTTCCTTAATAAATTCATCGATTTTCTAGCAAAATACAATTTATTGGCTAATAAGTTGTTCTTCCTTTAAGGAACTATTTAAGGAGTTCGAAATGAATACGAATGTCTTAAAATCATACGGAAAATTTTTTGTACAACCCTCAATTCAGTTATAAACAATTAAAATATTCAGTTTACCAGCCATATAGAAGGATTACGTGTATTATATTATTTAATCCATCGATCTGTATACTTATTGGGTTATTATACATCAAAAGATGACCAAAGAATAATCTCAATAGTTGAGATCATGAGTCAGTTGAAGCTAGACCATCATGAAAAATCTGTAAGAACTGGAAGGCTGTTTCGTCCCATTGTGGGACTCCTCAGCAGTGTGCATCTACGACTTCGCCTCTCAATTCGAACCCAGGACCTATCAGTCTCGTGCACAAATGCTCACGTACTAGACCATGATCTCATGACTCATAATCTCAACTATTGTAATTACTATAATATGCTTAAAAACCCTTCTGATATTAATCAAGAATAATCATTATGAAAAATTAAACACTTCAGTTGAACATGACAATAATTCTATTTTATCAACCAAATGATACATGGCAACTTCTTCATTTCTACACATAGATTTAAATGTGTAAAATTAATTTTGGAGAAAATGATTTAGCAAGGAGAAAAAAAACACAATTATACAAATGACAAAGCGCAAACAAAACAAGACAAAAATAATAAACATCTACAACTCAAGCTAACAATGAACTGATCATTTCCAGTTGAATACAATGAGCAGTCGATTTTTTGAAGATATTTTTTTTCATTGATTAACAGAAATGTAATTTGTTGTCACATAATTAACTAAGTTGCAATGAAAGATAAGTATAGAGTAATCGTAGCAATGATGATCTTTATGACTGGTGAATATGCTGTTGAAGAAAAAAAGAAAAAGAAACAAAAATCAACAACGAATACAAGCAAACTTAATGTGGAACAATGAGAAAAATCAACACAAATAAAGATAAACAAACAATTCGTTTGAAAGAGGAAAAGAAAAAGTAATTGAAATCCATTGAATTAATAAAGAATAAAGAAGAATAGAAAAGAGTAAATGTAAAATAATAGATCAAAATCAAGTTTTTTTTTGCACTTTTTGTTTGATGTTCTCCCCTTCATTTCTACGGTATTCATGAGAAATTTTTTTAAAAAAGTACAAGATATTGTCAATAGAGTAAAACTTCACAGATCAAAAAACAAAAAGAAAAAAAAAGAAACTACACAAAGAAAAACTACACATAAACAATACCGACAACAACAACAAATGGAAAAGAACTTTAATGGTTCAACTATGTAGTACCACAATAGAATAGTCAACTTCTTCATTAATAATATCCATTTACTTGATATTGTGAAATGACATAACCCGAATGCATCTTAATAATCAAGCTTTATCTATTCAAACAAACAAACTTCCATTTAGATTCAAGGTTAAATTTAATAAAATACAAAAGAAAATAAAGATAATTAAACGAAAGAAAAAAATGAAAAATAAAAATGGCATTATTAAATAGATAGAAAATGATAGAGAAGGCAAATGAATTAAATCGTTGTGTGTATAGTTCAGTTAAAAGTAGTTGAATTGAAAGAATACAAAGGAATAAGTTTATGTATATATATATGAGCTATAAAGTACATCAGTCAACAGATTATTCCCATTGACATGTTTCACCGTTTAATAAGCATTGGCGAGAAAAAGTAATCAGTTAAATACTAACATCATGTATACTTGAGTGTAGTCTTAAAGAAAGAGACAAACATTTCACCAACAATTAATATGCTTAACAAGTATAGAGCTGAACTGTATGGATTTGTGTGTGTGTGTGTTTATATATATTTGTACGATTTTGAACAATTAGCACAGCATGAATGTTGAGAAGAGGGAACGTGAAACTATGAGATTATTAGATATTCGCAGTTTACATGATGTGTTGATGAACTTAAAAACAGAAAAAACAGAAGCAAATATGACCTTTTTCAAAATTTTGATGATACAGTTCACCTTGTTCAACATGATTAATTTAATGAATACAGTACAACACGTTCAACTAATTGAATAACGTTAAGTCTATAGTCGTATAATTTTCTTATGGACATTCAAAGTTCAACACGTAATCCTTCACACTCAAATATCGTATCACCAGCATTAAATTGAGTACTGCATAGATTAGCTGCAGGTAACAGATGAAAATGATTTGCCTTTAAACGATCAGAACCTTTCTGTTCGTCTAATCGACCACATGGTGTTTCTAACCAACGTATCCATTCTTTTGGTTCATCTGTTGGGAGTATCGTTATAGAGGCATCAGGTGAATTAGCGTCACAACGACAGAGATATGAAACATCTAAAAGAAACAGAAAATTAACAGTTAATTAGTTTAAAAATCAGTGTATTTAAGAAAACTGCATGTTACTCATAATTATTTAGCTAGAGATTCAAATTTCTGAGGATTTTCATGGATATTATGAATATTGAAGACAAAGACTAGATAAATGTTTCGCCGAAAATATGAGAAATATTTTGAATGGGGTAACATTAATCTACGTACACTAAATGCAGTTTATTCGAGGTTACATAACCTCAATCAGCATGTTTAAAAATTTCAGTGTCATGAAGTATGTTATGAGGTTGCATTATTACGAATGAAATGTAAACTTAACAGCCAACACTGTCACTATCCTAACTAAACATTTATTATCATTTTATGTTCTATAAATGCATAGATAAAGAAAAGCTTTCTTTACATAGGCCATTCATTGACAAAATGTGCCGCTACACATGAGGAAGCAGCCACCATCATCAATCAATACAGAATAAGTATAAAAATATCTATTCTACAATACAGATCACTATGAACATGCAGGACCGAACTCGACATCATTTATAAGATTATACCGAATCTACTGAAAAGTGTACGCACATATCTCCTTTGCTTTACAGAAGCACTGGCGATGGACAAAATAAAACTATATATCCGTGTACAGAACCAGTTAATATATGATAACATTCATTATTATCATCCTAGTTACCATCAGATTTCTGAATTTTCTTTTACGCACCATTTCATAATCATTTTATATGCTGTATACTACCCCTTTTATCTCCAGGTTACATTTCGCTTTATTGTTGATTTTTTACACCCACCTATATCCTACTAACATCCACTCGTTACATTCAGCCTTCATCCTATTATCATGACCTTTAATCAATTCTTATTCTCATCTACAATGACCTTCACTTGTAGACGTAAAATCACAGTAAAATATTTCATTTTGTAATTGTATCCTTGACCTTTAATCTTTCGTATATCCTATGACTTCTAGTCAATCTAATGACCCAGTTATTTAACTAGTATCAGTCAATCGATAGCAGTAATCTATCATGTTGGTAATTATCTGTCAAAATCTGTTACATGCAAAGTTCTCAGAACGATAGACCCAACAGTTATTCGGATTAAAAAGCTGGAGTTTAACGTGTGGAAAAATTCATCCAAATGCTTCCTTTTCCCGTAGTCACATCAAACCCAACAGTCATTCTGGACATAAGAAACTTAATTTGACTTTGATATTATTCTTATTATTAACCCTTTAAGCAAATGGAGAATTTAGTTAACGCCTTACCCACTTCACTTTCAAACTTAATCCATACTTGTGTATACATAAACTATTCTTCAGGCAAATATTCTATTTGATTTATAATTGCAACTATTATTATAATCACTCCAAGTTATCAGTATTGGTTCTGATTATTAGCAGAGATGGATAGTAGCTAGCAAAGGAATCAATCACGTGCGTTTCGTCCCATTTGAGACTCGTCGACTAAATGTACGTGCATCCCAAAGTTGATCTTCACTATGAAACTCAAACCCAGTACCGTTCGCTTCAAACGCTGTCGCATTATCCATTTAGCCACTAAGTCCAGATAGTGACTTGCTTGCGCGATTGGGTGAAGTTTAATTCATTTATATTGGTTGTTTGAATCTTCTAATTAATGTTTAGGATTGCAACTGATCAGTCTCTTATCGGTATATTTGAGGAATGTCTCGATACTGTCTTAAGTCACAAGCATAATAAGCAGAGATGGATGGTAGCTAGCAGTGGAATCCAGTTTCTACTGTGAAATCACAGTTCCAAATGCCTCACAAACTTATTCAGGTTGATATCGCATACTACTTAATTCAATGTTATTAATTTTTTCACATTTTACTAACAATTCTAAATCAATGCCCTGTAATTTTTAAAAGATGTATTTGCCTTAAACTCAGGTAATCCTTTGGAACATTGATTTAGGAACTTGAGGAAAAACTATTGAAAAGAATATTCTTTGTTCAATTCACATATTTATTAAAATAAAATGAAAATTTTAAAATACTTGTAATCTATTTTGCTTATCATTACGAACTATAACTCCATAACTTCCATTATTGTATTCTGGGATATTGACAAACAAATTTTGTTGATTATATTAATATTAACAATAATAATAATCCCCACAACGCCATACTGATAATTACCATGTTCTCACTAGTGACTACCTTGGTGAGGGAATTCTCGCACTTCCAGTGAGAAGCTGTGACCAGTGGAACTAATCCGTGTAGGGTAGAGACAGATATTTACCTCAGTACAATAGAAGATAGTCGCGCAATTTCGTGGATTGGTTGGGGTTAGACATTCACGTCGTTGGATACCGGCTCAACGGTCTTGAAGTTAGACGTTCGCGTGCGAGACCGAAGATCCTGGGTTCGCATCCCGCGAACGGGGCGGTGGGTGTGCACTGCTGAGCAGTCCCGTGTTACGATGAATCGACCGTCTAGTGTTTCCAGGTTTCCAATGGTGGTCTAACATCAATCGGTTCATGATCTCAATCAAAAACTTAATAATCTTCACAACCCCATACTGATGATTATATTATCATCTCATATACACACTACTATGCAGCTTTTAAAAATGAAATCAATAAAGAGAGAATTTTCTCTGCCAAATAAATAATGGGTTCAATTACACAGTTAATTACAATATCTCTCTCTATATATCTGTTAAACTGTGGAATAAATTAGAATGACGAGGAAACATAAAATGAATAAAAGGATTTTACTAAAGACATACGTATACATACACTCACTAATATACATGTAATATCGAAAAATAGAGAAAAAAATGTAATGATTGAACACACACAAACACACACACACACAGAGAATGATCGATTTTTGATAGAATGCCAAAATGAAAATATCGACCCACTACTAATAATCGAGTGATTTTATTATTTCGATTAGGAATACTGGGATACAACAAGATTTTCAGTTCATTATTACATTGGCAAATATGCTATGCAACCACTGTGAACATATATTAACCACGCTCTTTGATAATAATGATTTATACATAAATAGATAAATGACAAACAATAGCTTACATGAATTAAACAAAAGACAGAGACATGCAAGAAATTCTACCATTTGATATATATATATATATATATCAGTAAGTGAGCTAAACATATAACTTGTATTAAATTTTCCGAAATAAACTGAAAAAAAGTATTTCTTATTTTAAAACATAAAGTAAACACAACCAACAACAACGAAAAAGATTTTTACAAAACAGAACTATTTTAATAGTTGAACTCATGAGTTGATGTAAGCTAAACAACCATTGAAAACCTTGAGGCACTCAATGCTCATCCAAGACCTCTCGTGCAGGACCCGAACTCAAAACATTCGGTTTTGCGCGTGAACGCTCAACCTCTAGACCACTGAGACGGCATCCAATGGTCTTAATGTCCAACTTCAATCGATTCATGGTCTTGTAAAACCCTTCATCCATTGTCTGAAGTGGACGACTGTCTCCGCCTGACACAGATTAGACTCCACTAATCACAGCTTCGCACTGGAACTTCAGGAAATCCATCTTGAATCTAATCACTAGTGAGCACGTGATCAGTATCAGATATGGCGATTTATGGAGATTGTAGCAATATTAATAGTTGAATTCATGAGTCAATCTAAGCTAAACCACCACTGAATAGAATTACATGAGAGAATATTTATGTATTGACTTATCATTCACTTACCATCTGGATTCCACTTTGTTTTAGCTGTAATTAATGCTTCAGCGATATTAGGATGTAATGCTTCACCGGATAAAATGTATAATTTTGCTCGAACACGAATGAAAAACTCCACAATTAAAGATTGTGGTACACGAACAAGATAACTAGGAACCCAAATAGCATCAAGATAAACTGGTGGTCCAGGTGGTAGAGTTGAATCATCTAATATGGAAGAAAGAACAAAACCATCAATTATGTATACAGGTAAGTTGATTAAATCGTGAATAAGGATGATTGGCAACGGATCTAATAGGACTAGACAGTCCAAACGATATATATATATATATATATATATATATATATATATATATATATATATATATATATATATATATATATATGACAGCCACACATGAGTAAGAAAAGTGGGGAAAGGGACACTTGTGTCTTAAGACAATTTTTAAAAAAATCAAATTTCACAGTACTTATAGAAAAGTGATTGATAGGAACGACTCTTCGATGATATATGTATAGTCAAGTATTAACAATTTATTTATCTATTCCCAGATAAAACTCCAGAGCTATAAGTTAATACGGTGTGGACAGGTGATAAACATTTGCATTGTCATCTCGTGTAAAATCAATTCGACCACACGTTCGAAAACCATTGACAATTATGAACTAGAAAATACATTTATCCTAATAGAAAACTGTTCTTTGTACAGATCGATGCTCAAGAACTGCATAAATTAATGGGATTAAATTAAGTGAATTGAAGAGGAAAATAACTAAGTATAATAATCAGCCATGGTAATTAGTCGTTAAGTCACTGAGTATAAAGCTGAGTCGTGCGAAAAGATTCATGTAGAAATCAATGACCTATTGTGATATGAAGTTATATCAAAAGGATAGGGATGAAAATAAATACTATACTGAATTAATAATAAATATATTTCTGTTATATCCCGATGAGTAAGAAATTGTACTTCGGACGTTTCGTAACATAATGTCAGCCACATCTTCACAGTAAATAAATAAACGAGATTACATTTCGGTTACATAACAAAAAATATATTTATCATTGATGTATTACCCAATGTTCAATTTATTTGAAACTATAAAGTTCATTCTTGGCACTGATATCTATACTGAATTATTTCGAAATCAACAGACGGTTGTTTTATTATTATTATTATTATTATTATTATTATTAATGGTTTTATTCAGTATAATATTTTTGGCACAATATAGAATTCTCAACACAAAGTATTTCAACAAGTTTCCGTTTCTTATTTCTTGATCGATCCTCACGATAAATACTGAGTGATCACCAGTTACATGTCAACAGTTCACGAATCGACATCTCAATAGTGTTCATTCGTTTCAATGCATATTGCCAGAAACCACGATGTTTCTGACTGTACTTCTTTGTGACTTGTACAGTGAAAGGTCGTAAACTTTTCGCAAATGCAGTTGAATATGTTATGCGATTAATCGCCATAATGATGTATTGAAACAAACAAAATAACAGATGACTTGTTGAAATATCTAGATTGCATGAACAGGTTGTCCAGATGTTGAAGCAGGCCGTCGTCCGTAAGTCACATTTAATGAGATTGTCTATGTCATGAGTAAAATAAGTTGAGAAGTGCCAATTATTCACCAAAAAGAACACAATCACAATGATGATAAGCGGGTAGTCATATCAATTTGAACGTGTAAAAGATACATATTTGAGTCTTCAGATGGAATTAGATAGTTTGCGATTTATCCCTAACATGGTATGTTGGAATATTTTATGTATTAATCCCTTGAGTTCATGGCATAATTTTTACCCATTCGAAAATTCAAAACCTTTATCGCCTATATTTATGACGCAACACACTGTTCCGATTTTCTAGTTCTACATAATCCTTAGCTGACTGAATTTCATGTCAAAATGTAATGATTTAGTTAAGGCAAGTAGTAACAAGAGCTTGAGATCATGAAACAAAGAGATTTACAGTTGATTCATTACTAATTGCTGACTATCGCCATGTTCAACTAGTCCTCTTGTGTAGTACCAATACTCCAAAGATTACAGGTTCTCCACACTTAGACGATGCGTCAAGGTAAGGGTTTTCTGTTAGCTATCTCCAACCACTTAACAAATTATTCAGCTCACATGTCTGGTTTTCATAGTAATGAAAAGAAATACTTACATAATTTTAAAACTGTAAATTTTTTCGCATAATGATCTACAACTTCAGAGAGGTTTTCATCTAGAATTGTAGTGAACGAGAACGTAAGTGGGGACAATCAAATGTATTTGAACACTAAAATTACAGAATCACTTGGTAAAATCTGGTAACTTTACTGTAAATACTTCATTCGCATAATGTCAATCAATCGTCATACACTTCATTGTTCTTTCGTTTCCACAGCAATCATTCACTGTGCTCGTTCTCTTTTCTTCTATCTTCTTAACCTTCTGCCTCCAAACATTTCACCTTAGATTGATGAAACATATTATTTATATCTGTTGACATCAGTAACACACACCACACAGTTATCTAGTCGACAAATGCTTCAACGACAAATCATACAAACAATATCTGATAAATTGATTGACCAAACATATTTTTTCACAAATAAACCTAATACTACTAATAAACCTCTTTAAGGCAATAATCTAAGTTGAACAGCTAGTCCGATTCACGATGCGCGTACATAATCAATTAAAATATAACATAGAAGATACAGTTTTTGTTTCGATAAAATATCTGTTGCTGGTTATTAAAATCCAAAGAACAGTGACTAAATGCAAAAATAATATTCAGCCATATGGTTTCGATTTCTTTTTCTACTATTAAACCCTCTCTTACCCCCCCCCTCCTGGGCCAAGGTATTTAGCCTTGTTCCACACAGGGCAAAGCAAATAAATCCAAGACATTAAGCTTTTTATCGATTAATTATGAAAATATACCACGGTCATATAAATAGTAATGATACTAATAATAGTAATGAAAGGATAGGAACAGTAAACTAATTATTGACAACGCCTGATAATGAAAAGAACGAGTAACACGCCAGTGTTATCACTATTATCCTTATTAACATTAGAAGCTCTACCGACATAATAACATACGTACACCTACGCATACAAACCTATATCAGAAGATATATACAAATATCTAAGAGAGAGATGGGGAAAATAAGAGATCACCTTATGGCGCTGCGGTTATGAACATAAGTAAAAAAAATAGTGGAGTGACAGGGTGTGGTATTCAATCAAAAATAATATAATAGGCACATTTTTTATCACAGACTGACTTGGGCTAAATGTATACTGAAAACGATCGAACCCCTGAATCTTCTGATCTCAAGTGGAGTGTGCTATCCTTAGATTATTGGATTTGCATCCCATCTTTCACATTTTCAATTTCATTCAATTCTCGATATCCCGCGAATATCATCAATTAATATCGGCTTTATTAGTTTCACGTTTGATACAGCTGAAATTCATCGATCACGTCTACATTCAATGAAACTTCATGAAGTAATTATGATTATGAATAAGTGTGGATAGCTGAGGGATCTTATACTTGAACAAAATAACTATTCAGTAACTAACAATTCCCAGAAGAAATTTTCAGTTTTAAGTTAATATTCCAAACAATGATGATAAAACAAACGAGAAATCGAACGAATAAATGATTATCAAACTTACCAGTATTTAATGCCTTCCCGCTTGTATCAGCTGATCGTACACGTTTAGTTAAATTCGTTTGTTGATGTACTATAATGGTAAAATAAATACAATAATCGAGATGAAATATTTATAACGCAAGTAAATTATTGAAAACTGGAAAAATTGAATAATTACATTAACGTCATTAGGAATATTTAAATGTCTTTTCTCTAACAATTGATGACACTCTTTTCCTAATGAAAAAATAATAGATTAGAACAACACTGAATTGAACGACCCATTTTCTTTTAAAACGAAGTAAAAACCGGTGTTTTTTTTTCCCCCAAGGCTGTTAAAAAATGAAATTTTGCTTCAGTAGTTGAGATCATGACTCAATTGAAGCTAGACCATCATGGAAAATATGGAAGCACTGGATGGCCGTTTCGTTCTAGTATGGGACTCTTCAGCAGTGTGAATCCACGATCCGACATCGCGAGATTTGAACCTACAACCTGTTGGTCTCGTGCACGGACGCTTGACCTATAGACCACTGAGCCGGGATCCAACAGTGGTAATGTCTAACTTCAACTAATCCACGAAATTAAGCGACGCACCCACCATTGTCATCAGTGAGTTACTATCTCAAAACTGACCCGATTGAACTCCACTGGTCACTGCTTCTCACTAGAACTAGAAATTTTATTTATCAGTTCACTGATAGTTCAACTACTCATAAACGTACAACAATTAAGTAGTTGACATAGGTTGGTTAAGTAGTGAATATACGAAATGGGTTAAATGAGAATCGTAACAAACAAAAGTCTAACAAATTTTCATTTTAACTTTCAGATTCGATTTTCATCATTAAAAATAAACTGTTGACAGTAGAAACACCTCATCACATACACACAAGCCAAATATGAAACAGAAGAGCCACCGATAACTTCATATCTCGCTAAGCCAAAATCCAACGGTTTATATTTCCAACTTAAATTTAATTTCAATATAAAAAGTCAAAAATTAGAACGAAATAGCCGTTTTTTTAATAATCTACTCCGGTTAATATGCAGATCATAGTGGAAATTATACAACAAAAAATAATTAAACAGAATCTCTAGAAAATGTAAATTCTTTATGATGACTAGGTAAATGAGAAAATTGTAATTCAATCTAATACAATACAGTCAATAAACAACGAAATGAATCAAACTGTACTGCAAAAAAATGAAATTTTCCAAAGATTAAAATTTAACATAAAAAAACAAAACTGGTTTAATCATTTGCATAATACAAACACACATACAAAGTAAATACAAATTTTGTTATGTCACATTTGTCTAATCAAACAATCTTTTTTTACTGCATATAAATGACAATATTGACTCAGTAACCAATTGATTTGGAATGTTACATTGAATAAATTTACTGAATAGAATTAAATATATAAAACATTGAAAAAGAATGTTAGATAATTGAATAAGTAATAGAAACTATGCAGATATTTGAGTACTTAAGGACTTTATTACTATTAATATCGATATCACCATTATTATTATTATTATTATTATTATTTTACGTTACATCCAAATGAAGGATAAATGGTTGGTGACTGCCAGGAATTATTTATTGAATGTAATTGTGAATATTCTTATTGGATAATTATGGTATCAATGGCGGTCTTCTTGAATATCTGGACAACTTGTTCATGCAATCTAGATATTTCAACAAGTCATCTGTTATTTTGTTTGTTTTAATACATCATTATGGCTATTAATCGCATAACCTATTCAGCTGCGTTTGTGAAAAGTTTACGACCTTTCGCTGTACAAGTCACAAAGAAGTACAGTCAGAAACATCGTGGTTTCTGGCAATATGCATTGAGACGAATGAACACTATTGAGATGTCGATTCGTGAACTGTTGACATGTAACTGGTGATCACTCAGTATTTATCGTGAGGATCGATCAAGAAATAAGAAACGGAAACTTGTTGAAATACTTTGTTTTGAGAATTCTATATTGTGCCAAAAACATAATATTGAATAAAGATAATAATAATATAACAATAATAATAAGTAACTACGTTATGAATATGTTTTCATTTAATCTATTGGCTATTATTATGCGATTTACTATTCTTAATTAATTCCCAATGTATTGGTTACAGTCTCCCTTACTCACAGCCACTTTCAGGTTGGTCTTGTATGATTGCTATTTTTCATTTTATATCGTGATGCAATCTGATTCGCTTGTATCAAATCTACATATGTTTGAAACAGATTATTGATAAAATGAAGGCTGATTATTGACTTAATGGGCAGGGTGAAATGAGGAGCTATTGTATGGAGGATCAATGCGAATATAGAGTTGTCTGAAGGTTGCTAGTGTTAGTTGACTTATCATTGGTTTAGCTCAAAAACAAGGTAATAGAAACTGATTTTTCAACAGGCAATTTCGCCAAGGATACTTGACTGAACTGTAATACAACATACTGATTATTACCATAATGATTATTATGAATAACACTGACTAGCAAATATAGCCCATAAAGGTAGACAGATTGATAGTTGACTAGTGTTTTATAGCCAGCTGTGTACGCGAGATACTTTAGATCCGTTAGCTGAATATCATCAGCAACAACCTTATGGGACAAAGAAAAAATGAGCTTCCAGTTGAAGAGGAAATCAGGAAAAGACGCTGGAGGCGAATAGGAAGCATATTGCGGAAATCATCAAACTGCATCACAATACAAGGTCTAACTTGGAATCCTCGAGACAATGGAAAAGGAAGATCAAAGAAAACATTGCACCGGGAATCGGAATCAAACATCAGAAGAATGAACAGTACTTGGAAACAGGTGAAAAGCAGAGCCCGAGAGAGAGTAGGTTGGAGGTTACTATTCAATGACCTTTGCTCTCCAAGGAGTAAAAGGCGAAATTAAGTAATTTTATCATATATTTTTTACATTAGCATGACGGGATGAATGGAAAAGAAGTCGAAATAACCATACAACTAATGATAATGAGAAAGATTGAATATTGAGAATATGGTTCAAGAAGAAATAATGAAATGGTGAGCTATTGTGACTTGGCAATACTATATAACTTTTCAATCATTTGGACCAAAACTAGATAGTCTACAAATACTAACAAGATTCAAAACAAGAACAGATGATTAAATAACTGATCCCATAACTTCTAGCCTACTCCTACCTAAGATAATATTTACGTATAGACATCCCAGTCGGTAACGAATCACAACCTCATCAAACAATATACTATCGTCACTTAATACTCTTTATCTAATCTTAGCATTAGTCACTCAATTGTTCTATCCTAAGTTGGCAATCATTCATAATTTTTGTGAATTACTAGTAACTTATGCAAGACTTACAATTTCAAAGGCCATGTTTTACAGCTGGTTGCTGGGCTGTATTTCCCTCTTTTAATTAGGTAGACGGGTGTCCCTTTTTATCAATGGTGGCTCAAACTAGCTGAATTCAATCGAGATTTCCAAATTTATCTCGAGGTATAATCAACTAGTAAGTCACCAAGGCTTATGAAACTTTTAGAATGGGTTTAAACTACTTCATACTTTGTTACCTAGATTAGGAATATATGTATTCAGTGAATCTAGCTTCATACCATTCCAATCAAACACTACAATATTCAATTTACATTGTCTCTCTCACCCTCCATCAATCCGAAAATAACTTATTCTCGTATTACATACCAACAGAAGAAAAAAAACAATACAAACATTGCATAGTGAATCGAAATAGGAATTATAACTTCTTGAAATAACACTAACAAACTAGTCAGCAAGAGAGAGAACATATGGAAACCACTTTAAAAGATAAATGTCATGGCAACTCATTATTTTCAAAATTCATGTAGAGATGAATGTCAAAGTATAGAATTCAAAAAAGACACAATGAGAATCAACTGTATTTCCCTGTGTATACACATATTCGTATTTACGTACATGTATTGCTTGTATGTAAAAATCTCAACAGGTTGTACTACTACTACTACTACTACTAATACTACAATTACTACTACCACTGCTACTACTACGGGCTTTGTGTTTTCATTCTTCTTATTGTCATTGTGAAAGGCTATAACAATAATAATAATAATAATAATAATAATAATAATAATAATAATAATAATAATAATAATAATAATAATAATAATGTAAACGAATTTCTATTTTTAATGGTTTTACCATTACCACATTTCATTTCCAAGGTGTAAATTATGTACATGAATGAATAGAAATGAATAAAATACAGTAAAACAAAAAACACAAGTTAAACAGACACAAACAAAAATAGATAGATGGACAGGTGATTTGAATTATTATTAAATAAATAAGATAAAGAATGACACATTAATCAAGCATAGAGACATACAAATACAAAAATTTGGGTACATAAACCCACACTCCTTTATAGGATCAGTTACATACACACACATACACACATAAAGGGATAGACTATAGCAACAGACATATACATGTATAATAGACAGAAATCAATATAGTGCTGACTAATCAAAATAACAATAACAATGAAAAGTTGTTTTTTTTATTATTTTAATTACCATGACTATTCCATGTTAGTCTAATTCACTGGTAAGAGGTTTTCCAAAAAATCAAATTAATGAACAAGACTTTTATCCTAAACTATTTATTTCACTTTTGTTAAGAATGATCATTCCAATTTCAATCCGGACAAACTGATATGTACAAACGCGAGTATACACACGCACACACATTCGGAGATAGACATACAAATACATACTGTACAAGACTGGATAAAAACAATTGAATCCTGTCATTACTTAGTAGCAAATCAAATTTTCATCCAACGGCCGAATATTCATTTTCATTAAATTAGAAATTACTGTATATCAAGTCCCAATGGACAGTTGCTTTATTCTATAGTTTCATCAAGCAACTGAAGTATGAGTAATAATGATTCAACAATCGGTCAATGTTAAACATATTATTATTATTAGTTTAAGTGACCACCACTATACATATCACATAAGGAAAACTAACTATATTTTGAGATAATAGTAGCACAATATACTCAAAGAAAAAGAAACATGAGTTTGGAAAACCAGATGAAACAATATTGAAATTCCAGATCTCGCAAAAGAAAACAGAAGAATACATCTGTTTGGACGGCTTCGAGAAGCATAACAAAGCCTCCAGAGGCTCTAAAGAAACTGGAGAGTTTTCATCCAATTAGAGCCTGATGGAGCTTTTAAGGATATTAACGTGACATGCTGTGGTTGGATGATATCATAATTTGCCTCCTTGCGGATTGGCTGATGTTATAGCCAACGCTAATAACTATAAATACCGATGATTTTCTGCAGATTTTTGGTTCTTATCTAATAATCACTACCTCTACTTCTTCCGTCTTCTGATTTGCGGTAGTGGGGTTCTACACGTTTGAACACCGTCAGTTGTATATCGTATTCTGCCGTAATAAAGTAGAGGAAGTAACAACGCCTGCTTTATCGCCCACAGAATTTAGTGTCACTTGACGGTTTCCACAAGAAATCATGACCAATACATTGATCCTGAACAGGAAATTTGTGCAGACTGACATCTCTTAAATTAATAGACAAAGACTTGATAAATTAATTCCATGTATTGATTTATCCATTTAATTTGTTTCTCTTCTAGCTAACATAAACAATGTATATGTTAACTTATACTCATGAAAACTGGAGAGCACTAAATAGATGGGCTCATTGAATTTGAGTAAAGATTGTCCGATATGTTGGAAATAAACTGAATCCAAATATTTGTATTCTTGCTTAATGATTCATAGTCTTCTAACCACGAGATCACAAGTTCCGACACTTGATTTCTTATTTTTACTTTGTAAATACTTACTGACTAGGTATTTTAAACTAATATGAAACAGTTGTCCGGTACCCTATGATTTCTAACTGTTTTCCAAAGGTAATCAAATTTGAATAACCGATGTAAACCTCTCAACTATGTGTGTTAATTCATATACTTGTATTTAAATCTGTATTCAGTAATTTGCAATACACATCTTTGTATACTGTTGAGCTTTTGTGAAAAAAAAAGCCAGTGACCATGACAACTCGCTATCGTACAAGTTCGATAAAAATTGTGCAATAGTAACAACGATAATAATAATAATCACAATGACGATAGCAACACAAGTGAGTAGGTAGACCAATGTGATCTTTAGCAAGCATGACTTCGTCATATTAAATTAGTATTAGATACGAATAGAAAATATGTATCATCAAGTAAAAATTTATAACGTTCAATGATAACCTTCCCTCATGAGTTGATACATCATTTGGAGAATACTAATAGAAACTGTGAAGCATTGCAAAGTATGTTTAGCTAAAATTTAAAACCATATAAAGTTATAGACTGCAAAATCATCTAGTGAGAAGCTGTGATATGTAAAGACAACCGACTTCAGGACTTAAGTAAAGCTTATGTTCAATGTAAAGTGATAGTACAGTCGAGATGTAGACTACTGGAGAGTGGCTATTGAGTAAAAAAACTGTATGAAAGTGGAACGAATTAGCTCTTTTATACTAATAGGTAATTTCAATTATTTACTCCACTCGAAACCAATGCTCATAACGAAAACTATCGATATATTTACAGGCTGAACAACTATAAATAACAAAAGAAAATCAAATGTTTAAACATGAATAATTCCAATTAGGAATAAGTGAGAAACCAAATACACACACACACACATAAGCTGCCTTCATTTGATATTCTATGGATTTTAGTCAAGAAGTATAATCAGAGTTTCATAGGAAAAAAAGTTGAAGTTTTAAGATGAAATTCATCCAAGAATTTTCAGACTGGAAAAAATTAAAAAACTACATCATCGTGTTAAGTAAAGACACAAGAATGAATTCTGAAACATTTTAGAGAATTGAGATAATGTCTCGAAATTAGTTGTAATCCAATTCAAATATTTCTAGTCACAAAAGCTAATAATTCTCAACAAGTTTAGTCATTTCCTTACTTTCTATCTAGAATGTTATACTACTTATAACAAAATAAAAAACATAATCATAAACTTGCATTTCGAATGATTTGTAGTTGGCGGAACTGGTGCTGGTAGACCCAGTGGATGACCCCAAGCTTTCAATGGATCAAATTTTTCTTCAGTTGGACTACAATGAGATGATGTATTCTGACGTATATCCTGTAAAAATTGATCTTTGTCGATGAAAAATTTCCCAAAGTTTTCCATATCTTTCGATGGAGTTATAGTAGTGGCTGTAGTAGATGTAGCAGATGGTGGTGGAGTTGTAGTCATGATCATATATGAACGTTCTTCATCTTCTTCTTCATGACAAGAATGTGTCATATGTGCTGCTTTCATATAATCACTTTCTGAGTCTTTTGAAAAGTTCATATCATCAATTGCTGTCTCTGAAAGATAGTGATTATTACTCTTATTCCATTGATTCTGATAAATTTCATCTAAATATACAATGCACAAAATAAGTCAATAAATTACTAATTACCAACATTGTCTTACAAAAAAAATAAAGTAATTATTGAACTTTATTCCAATACACTGACATTTAGAGAAGGAACATCTTAACAGACAAACAGAATTTCACCAGAAGATGATTCGATAATATTCCAAAGGATACCAATGTAATAAATTTCACCTATAAATTATACATTATTATCCATAAAACTGTTTCAATAAAATAAATTTTAAATTCCTGGTCACTACTGACTCACTTCAAGATGAGTACCAGACGTTCTAAGGGGTAGCGGTGACCAATAAAGTTCAGTCATACTAGGAGTAGAACAACCGACATAAGTGGTACATTATTATACTTACAATATATTACAAATTGATTGATGTTGAAAATATGTACTTATCGCAAGACATAGATGTTCTTGATTAAACTCTTGATGGGATTGTTGGTGCATAACGCTAAAGAGTCCCATACTAGGACGAGACGGCAGTTCAGTGTTTCCAGGTTTTTAATGGTGATCTACCATTAATCGGTTCATAATCTCAATAAATAACCAATCCATTCTATCCTTATTAATCATAGAAATGAAATAATTAATTGGTTAATTTTAATAAAAAGTGTCAACGATATTTTATTTACCAGATAATTTAATAAACAGAATCTATTTACTGCACGATGTGGATATCCTCTGAGTATTAATTGATCACTTTATTCTTTCAATTCCTTAAAATATAATTAATGAACAGTTGTTCCTATCTCTATGTATAGTCCTAATTTCTAAGTGAATTTAGTATATCATTCGTTTACACTGCTGATATTTAATACCGACCATAGTGTCTTAACTCCATAGCTGATTGTTTTAATCATCATATTAAACATTCTGAATAATTATGTGATTTAATGATGTTTTCAAGAATTACTGTAAAATCTATTTGATAGAAACTCTTGCGCCTGGTGACTAGTTTTCTTTGTGATGATTACCTAAATTAGTTTTATACCAACGGTTGTTGGTTCATTTTAAATTGATTTGAATTCGTATGGAGCAGTGTTTCATTATTTAACGTAACTATCATTTAACACATAGGTTATACGTTCAAAACCCCACACCATCTAACTTGGTTTGAACAATTGAATGGTAGTAATATTAACCTTTATGCAAATATCATAGCTGAAAATAGACTACATAAACCTGTAATCGATCAGTCAATTGCATAAAATTTTGAATTTATAAAGTTCGGAGAGTTTCCCAGTTAAAAATATTACAATTGAAAGTTATTTATGTATTATACTAATTGAATTCATTATTATGGTACCATCTTTCGCAGAAATGTTTAGAAATTTCTTTGATTTAAATTCTAATAAATACTAGAAGTTTGGCTTTCCAATTGCCATCTTACTTGGTCCATAAGATTTGGACAGTACTGAACAGACTACACCAACATGAAATCGGTCACTACCCAGTGATTAACTACGTGTACATATATCTCAGTCCTACAGAAGGTCAAGTGAGTTTCAAATAGCTCAATAGTAACGCCTCAACCAGTTAAACGGAATGAAAGATGCGAGTTCACCATGAAGCATTAGTTCTCTTAAGATTGTATGCAGGTCGTGTTGAAAAGTCCCAACTGGCAGAAAACATAGGTCTAAGGTTTTCTATCGACTAATCCTAATCACCTAAAGCGTGTCACTTTATTTGCTTTTAATCACATAAAATGTATTCAGTATACTTCAGTTGTTGTTGTCATTTAAATTGATTTAAACCAGGTCACCATCTCCAGATTTACACAAACATAAAATGGTAGTAGGAGCAACCGAAAGACAAAACAAAAACCGTCTATGAAAAGAAAATACCTTGATTCTCATCCTCATTGATCTCATTTGTTTTCAAGTTGGAATATTCATTACCATTGGCACAGACATTAAATCCGTTTGTATGTGCAATATAACTGTCTTGAAGATGGTGATTAGTGATTGGAGTGATATGTATGGAATGATCGATATCGTTTACATTATCATTTGTTTGATAAATAGTGTTTCCGTTGAAATACTGCTGCTCTAAATTGACGTGACTATTACCACTTTTAGTAGTAGTGGTATCATTTGTGATTTCATCATTATCGTTATTATTTACATCAACATTTGTTGACATCATCATCGTCATTCTTTGCATCATTGTTTCTTCACTGTCATCAGTCGGGATTTCTGAATACAGATGTTGTTGTTGGTGGACGGCGTTAGAATAGTTTGAAAATCCATTTATTGTAGAATTCTCAAGTAGTTTTTCATCTACATCAAATTGTTGATAATGCTGATCCTGATGACGATCTATGTCTGACTCTTTACTCATCGTTACCGCATCATTGTGATACACGACAGTATCATCCCCAACATAATCTCTATCTTCTTCTTCTTCTTCTTCATTTGAATGTTGTTGTGTTGAACTGACAATATTGTAATTTGGTGAGACTGAACGATTTGGACTATAAATTAATAAATCAGCTTCAGAATGTTGTTCGTCTTGTTGATGTTCACATTCCTGTACACGTTCTTCATAGTGTTGCTGCACTTGTACGGTTGAATTATCTGAGATTTCTGAATCAGGACTAATAAATCTGTAAATTTTATTCAAATAAAATAAAAAAATTTCAAATACAATAATTTATTTACGCATATGAAATGCAAGTAAATGTTGAAGAATCAGGTTACAAAGTCAGGTGTCAATTCTGAAGAACCGATTGATCACATGATGAAACACTCAGTGAAAAAGTAGGAACTCACAACTGATGGAGTTCAAACACTTTGGGATTGAGATAACAAATGATGAAAATGGATGTCTATTGTCCATTATTGTTTATTAGTTGAACTTTGAGACGTCGATCAATAGGTTCCAACTGAGCGGTTTGAAGGTAGCAGGCAGGGCACAAGGTATGAAGGTCTTTGGTACACTCATTAATAGGGTTGTAAGTGAGCACTGCTGAGTAGTCTCCTGAATATGTTATTTATTTAAACAAATAAACATTGGTAAAACAAGAAACCAAATAGTTATGCGCCACATGAATCATTCGATTTGTGTGAGGGCTGGGACACTGCCCGTGTGCCCAAACCGAAGGGGCCACACCCTGAACCTTTGACCTAGAGGTCTGATCCACAAGGCAGTGGAGCATCGTAAGGAGATGCTGTCACATGGTAGCAGGTGACCAACGATTGGTCCATACGCCATTTGTTCCTTCAGGATACTGTAGCCCATGTGAACCACTGGTTTGTAATGAGGGTTTTCCAACTCCCCTAGATGGGCTCTCCATGTCCATCAAATCGGTTAAAGCGCCGGACATTCATAACTGAATAAAACAGTTATCTAATACTTCTTCGCTCTGAACAGTTGTGCAACTAAAGCTAATATGTGATGTTAAATACTAACCAGAAAATTTTCACAAAACTCTTGTACTAATTTCTACAAAGATACAAAAGTTACGAACCATAAATATCTATATATAGTCTGGTAACATATTCCCCTTTACAAGAACGAATTGATGATACATCGAAGTCAGACTTAAAGAAGAGAAAAATATTAAAGATTATGAAGTCTTGAGTTATAGCGACCAATCAGTTAGTCAGTTATAATCAATGTAGAAACTTGCACGTATGTGTATTGTTTCAGTTTGAAACACTCAGTTAATGCTGCAAGATGAATCTATCAGAGACAATCTTAGAGGAGAAGAGGTAGTAATAATATTAATGGTAAGAAAAAAAAGATTTTGAGATTGGCTGACAAGAAATCTACAAACCCTAATGTTTTTCATTTCGAAATATAAATTTTCAAAAACGAAATTTCCTGTGCAACATACATAAAGTAATCTAGTTTATAGATGAAAATTAATCTAAACTGATGTACATAACCATACACATTCAACATACATATATTATAGAAACAGAGTAAACCATACACAGTGTCATCTCATGATGTAATCACCTGTGGTAATAAAAGATTTCACCAACATGAAATACAACATCATAAAGTGTTCTAAATTCTTTGACTAGAGTTATGATGTTATCTATTACTTAAATTCAAACAAACACTAACTTTCATTGATAAATAGAAGTACAGCAATCATGATAACTATGCATCAATGACTTGAAATCAAAAATTTGCATTTTATTTTGAAAAAAAAAATATTTCGATCATAATACAAGTTAGTTAAATCTGATCTAATTTAATAGTGGTACTCCAGGTCATTTATGTAAATCATAAAACATGATTATGGTGATTTCAAATACTGTGATCATAATGATTGTCGACAATATAGGTCACAGTTAGTTTGTTCCATTGAATGAATATTACACATATATCCATTTATGCAAATGTATGATGGTCGTATTAACAATTTCAAAAGCCTTAACAAACTAACGACGTATAATAACAGAAAAAACGTGATGTATATTCGTTGGTGAAAATAACTTATCACAGACATATACATATACATATAGAAGAACACACTGAGATTTTTTGTCATTTATAAGCAAAACAGAAAATTACTCTCCCTAATTGAAGAGAACCAATTTATTTACACATGAAACCTTCAATGATGACAAATGAAAAAACTCCACAGAATTCGGATCAATATCGATGGTCTCATTAACTGCAATTGTTAGATTGTCATATCTTTCTTCATCTCTACTAATATTTAACAGGATATAAGAACAAACAAGCGGAATGAGCAATTCTCTGCTAACAGAAAAAACGAGAAAAATCTCATACTGATTCATACACATAGACACACACAAACACACTGTGACGTGTTATTTATTCTCAGATAAAAATCTCATTAGGAAAAATAGAATCACTATGAGTTTAAGAGAAATAGTTTACCCATAGATTGGGTGAACTCAAGAATAATTTAAACAAACCAGAGAAATAAGTTAGGGATGAAAGCACATAGCTTTCAACTACTGAATTAACAGTGTGGCTATCACTCCATTAACATGATTGGGTAGTATCACTAGGTTTGAACAATTAAAGTGTAGCACAATAGTGAGAGGGAAATTTTTGTGTTTTTAGTTGTAATGTCCATGAGGATTTATATATGATTATAATATTTAGTCAATAAGTAAGCTTATCTATCTAGTCAATAGTGTTGTTACCTAAATACACGAAAAAGAACTATTTAGCAGTGTGTGAACAGAGGTTTAAAATGGTGTACCTGATTAATTCCAAATATAACTTATATTTGAATAGGCCATTCAATAAAGCATGTCTGGAATTGTAAGGCTGTTAAAACAAATTATCTCTCTATGGTTAACCACTTTAACACCAATAGTTAGACAAAACGTTGAGTCGTTGAGTAGTATTGCAGTAGCAGTTTGAAATATTGAGTTAAGACAGAACGTTTACAAATTCTTATCCTCAACATTAAAAGAACTGAAATTCGACAGTACACTGGATTATCATACAGATGATAATAAAATACCTTAAACTAGTTACTCTCTGATTGGAAACTTAGTATCTCACTGTAGACTATCATTTAATCAAACTAACTACTCTTTAACATTTGCAACTAATGTACCATGTATAGGTTAATGTGTTTGGCTTTGAGTCACAATGTTTTATCTATAGATCACTGGCTTTGGATCCAGTTATTTTAACAAGTTATTTTAACATAATCAATATTAATTTGTTTGTTTTGGTTGTTTGAATCTCCCCACTAACATTTAAGATTGCGATTGATCAGTCTCTTTTCAGAATATGTGCATCTTGTATAGGTTGCCACGATATCTCCATTAAGTCACAAGTATTTTAAGCAGAGATAGATAGTGGTTTGCAGTAGAATCCAGGACTCGTGTTTCGTCCTGTTTGGGACTCTTCGGCTAGATGTACAAGCATTCCACGGTTGGTGCTCACTAGATTTCACCTCTGACCAACATCCATCTCTGCTTAAAATGCTTGTAACTTAATGAAACGATCGAAGTTATCCACACAAAATGCACATATTCCTATAAGAGACTAACAAATTCCAGTCCTAAACATTAATGAGAAGATTCAAACAACCAATACAAATGAATTAAACTTCACCCCATTGCACAAATCAATGGCTATTTGGTCTCAGCAGCTAAATGCATGACGCGATGGTGTTTTGAAGCGAACGATACAGGGTTCGAGTGCCGGAGTGGACATCAACCTTAGGATGTAGGTACATCCAGTTGACGAGTTCCAAATGGGACGAAACGCGCTGCTGGATCTCTTTACTAGCTACCATCTACTTTTGCTTACAGATTTATTTTACTTTACCAATAACGTATTCGCCTTAATTCCAACCATATTTTTAGAGTAATAACTGTTGAATCTGATGAGTATTTGTCGAAAAGAATATTATTCCTTCATATATCTGTGTATTGATAGGGATTAAGATAGAAACGCAACACATTAATTCTAACTTACTGCTGTTGGTGATGACCTTCAACATTTGTTGCAGTGTCAATATGTAATGAGTTATTAAATTCTTGGTATGAATTTGAGTGGATTTCAATAGGACTATCAACATCATTATGTATATCATGACTAACAATATGTGATTCTTCGTAGGTTGTCGAATCTACTTTTTGATGTGATTCTTCGTCAATTTCATTTGTCTCGACTTTTCTTTGAATCGTAAAATTTGTTTCATCTGACAGGTAATGATTATTGTACGGAAATCCCTCTAGAGTTTGAATATTATTTATTATTTGATCTGTACTTGAATCAACTTGATATTTAGTGGGATCACTAGGATAAGTCGTTGCTGTACTAAGTAATGAATTATCTGGTAACATCTCATCGTCTTGAGCATTTCCAATATCTTGTTCTAGAGAAACATTTCCAACCTCTGATTCGATATTTTGTTGTGAGTGAATTTCATGGGAATTCATTGTTCTATTGTAGTCATCAGTTGTCATATCATAATTCACATTGTAATCAATATTTATGTGACTTAAAGAGGATTCATCACATTCAGTATTGATTTGTTTTTGTTGATATGGTATGACAAATTCTTTTTCCATTTCATCAATATCTGAATGAGTTTCTTCAATTTGTTTATGATGATCCATATCAATATGTGTTTCTTGATCTGATAGATATTGTTCATGTTTTTGTTCATATTCAGTTTCAGTGGAATTAGGTACGTAGTTCTCTTCATAGTTTGCCGTTAGTTCTGTAAATGATTTATTTAATTTTCCTTCCTCACTTTTTTCATCTAGGTGTGCATGAGTTTGGACATTATATGGTTGAGAAGAATGATCTATAACATCATCATGATATTGTATATTATCAAGATTAGTAACTTGTTCTTGTTCTTCTTCTTCTTCTTCATCTGCTGCAGTTTGTGTTAAGTGTGTTTGTTCACCAGCGATGAGATTGATATGTGTTTGTTTGTAAACAGGTTCATTATCCATTGCTTTTACTACATCAGTTCGTGAAAATTTCGTCAATTTATCATCGTCATTATCATAATCATCATTTTGAAGTGAATAATCTTCAGGCACATAACTATAAGGTTGATTGATATGCACATTATTCTGCTCGTCAGATAGAGGAATAACTTCTGTGAGAAAATCAGATGGTCCGATGATGTTTACTCCTTCAATTTTATTTGAATCGATTACTTTAGGCTCAGTTTCGTTCACATCAGCTTCTTCAATTACTTTTTGTTCTGTGTCTAAGTCATTTGAGGACTGTAGTAATTCATGAGGTTCTTCAACTAACTCTTTCTCAAAAACAGATGGAGACAGTTGATCCTGTAGCTGACTTATAGTATCGTTGAAATTTTCTGCGATTTGTTCTCTCTGGACATATTGTACATCCTGCACATTTTCATCATATGTTTCTTCGGTTGGTTGTGGCTGATAGTGTATTTCACATTCATCTTCGTTTCCAGATTTCTCTTCTTCTTTAAAGTGAGGTTGTTCTGTCACGTTACTAAATCGAGGATCAGTGAAATCAGGCATCAAATCACTAGTTATATTAGCATCAATATCTGTTACAGCATGGAATGAAGATAGTTCATCTTGTGAATGATCAACTGAGTAATTTAGCAACTTTTCTCTACCTTCCATTTGTATCGTTTCACCTTCATCTGGATACTGTTTAATTTGTTCATAGTATCCTTCTTCTATTGGTCGTTGACTTTGTATCTTGTCAAAGGAATTATCCATTTCACCTGGTGTAGTTACAAAAGCATCATCATTGCATGGGAACATTTGTTCGTCCAACTTCAATGTTTTATTGGTCAACGGAGATAAACCATTCCCTATAACACTCATAGAGTTGTCATAACGATGGCAAATAATATCTTCTTTTTCATATGATAAGTCTTGAGTGCCTAAATTAAATTCCTTCTCTGGTTGTCGCTGTTCACCTCCGTCTTGGAAATTTTCTTCGTTGCGTTCAACAACCTGTTGTTCTTTTAAAACATTATTTACATTGAATTCAGACTCAAAAATATTATCATTTTGTCCCGTTTCTTGCATTGTTGTCAAATAATTTATATCGTGAGAATTTTCGACCAGCGACTGTTTGTTGACAATGAATGGTAAGGATTCTTCCTGTAAATGATTCACATAGGTTTGGTTATCTTCGATATCAACATTTCTGTTTAATTCATCTTCTACATTTTGTTCTAAATGCTGTGGTTCATGTTGTTCGATTACTACACTATTACCTATAGATTTGTTACTATCAGTTTCAAAAACTGTTGACGATTCTGTTATACCTACATCAAATGGAGTATCAAATGGTGTTTTGTAAGATTGCATATCATGAAATCCTAATGAAGATACAATTTCTTCCTCGGTTACTTGATTTTGTTCATACTGATTTAGATTAAAAGAATTCATTTCCTTCTCTACCACTTCGTGATCATGTTCTTCTTCTTCTTCCACCACCTCTTCCTCCACTTCTTCACCTTCGGCTAGTGAGTCATCACACGATAATGGTGTAGTTGGTTTTAATTCACATTCTAAGTCAATAGTCAATTGCTCATCGGATTCTTCTGCCAGCATTTGATTTTCTTTTAACACTTTATGTACTTTATACTCTTCTTCTTTTTCTTCTACTTCATGTTGTGGTTGTTTTACTACTTCTCTCTGTTCTTCTTCTTCTTCTTCCCTTTGTAATGATGTTCCTGTTGAAATGATGTGTTTATTATCTGTTATGACAAACTGATTTGTAAGTGATAAATTGTCTAAATGGTTTTCTGAGTTTTCATGTATAGATGATTTCATCAAACTGTTTAACATTGGATCGACTGATGTTAGTTCATTATTAAGTGATATATTCTGAAGTGTAGCAGGAGGTAAGGAGGAATCAACCAATTCTGTCGTCTGTTCAACTGTTTCTGATTCTTCTTTAACAGGTTTAGCGCTTGGTAGACGATTACTTGTCACAGTTAAATTAGAAGTCTTCTTTGTTTGTAATTTATTTGGCAAATGTGTTGTTGGCTCTGATTTACGAGGAGGAGCTTTTGATCCATGCTGGTTAACAAGATTAGAATGTGCTGTCAAACGTTCTGCCATGGTAGTAGTTGTAGTCTTCGGTTTTGCTAGCGGTGTTGCTTTAGGCCCAGACAATGGCCGATTAGTTGTTTTCGACTCGCCATTAACAGGCTTCGTAGTTGCAACATGTGGTTTCGATGCACTAAATGTTTTCTTTGTGTCTACTGAAGACAATGGACGTTTTTGATGAGAATCAACTCCATGGGAATTATTCATTAATTTAGAGTTAGTTGTATTCTCATTAATCGGTTTTTTCAATTGATTTACTGCTAACGATGGCGTCTTTAATGGAGTAGTAGTCGCTGTTCGTTGATTATGATTAGGAGTTGATGAAATAGGCTTAGTTGGTGATGGCTTAGCATTCATTGTAGAGTTAGCTGTTTTTGATGTAATTGTCTCTTTCTGTCCTGTTGCATGTAAAGTAGGTTTACTAAAAAAGAGATAACAGAAGAAATTTGAATAAAAATTACATTTATTCATTGAAATTATTAAAAAGTTAATTGAAGAAAAAAAACAAAAGGAAATGCAGATTGCAATCTCAATTTCCTTTATACACACTGTAAATAATTATCAAACAAAGATTTTTTGAAAAAATAATGCACCAAATTAAAACCAGAGACATTTCTATTCCATTCAATTCTATTGTAAAAAAGAGATAATCGTACTTGAGTAAACTGCTCTTCTCAATTCTCACTGACACATATACACGCCATACATATACACCAATCAATGGAGATTTTATCAATTGACTTTTGTATTCAACAAAATGTTATGTAATGAAATGGTTATTGTTAAGAAAAATAAGGCCAGTACACAATGAACAGTAGAAAAAGTGTATGTATAATTTTAAATGCAAAATTATACTCCGATGGTGCTAAACTAGGATGAATCGCACACAAAAAATATACTTCCACAATAAGATGAAATGACTATTTATGGAGGTTTTCTCCTTTATAGAATATTTAAAGGGATGTTTGAAAAATATTTTGAAAGTCAATTGTTTTAAAAAGTTCCTTGGAACATTCGAGAAGCCGTGCTCTTGTGAATCTGTTAGCTATACTATTGATACAAATTGTTTAATTTGACTGATTTCGGAATAGGGGATCAATGAAGATCCATTTGATACAAAAACGGATCTATGTGACTAGAGATGGACCATCAATATGCAACTACACGTCAACGATAAGATAAAAGCAGTGAGTAAGATCAAAGATAGGACATTTGATAGAGCTCTTGCTTCAAGGTCAATTAAGAGCGAAGAAAATGAAATACGTAACATCATAGCATAGCTCTACATGCTATACTTGCAACTAAAAAAGGTGGAAATCACATGAAACTAACACATTTCGGTGGTTGTAATAATACACAGATTTAAGGGTCCACGATAATATTCATTTTTTTGGTAACGGAAACAGGTCACAATAATACTGATTTAGATTAGCTCTAGTAACTAGCATGTTCGCTAAAAGTTTCTACAAATTTAAAATCGTTGATATTATCTGAAACTAACCTTAAAAGTAAACATCTCATAATCTCGCTTTCTAGACTCAATCAGTGTTCAAGTGTTGAAGATTGTATGAGTCAAGAAATTATCAGCATGAAGTTAGTATCAGTGTACAGATTTTATCGATTTCTGACCATTGACGTAAAGAACAACAATTAAGGCCTAGGAGAGTGATCTCAAATTTCACCGGCTCGTGTCTTTTAATCAAATCTAATTTTGTTTCTAATATTTACGCTGACTTGCTAGGAAGAAAATGTAATTTTGTCGATCAAATGTACTTCCTGTCGGGACATCATTTTACAAAGAAACCGAATTGTATCATTGGCTACAGTTCAGTGATCAGAATTCCATTCATTTTCTCCACAATTCAAAACGTACTAATAACTCATTCTTCATAACATCTACTCGTAAGGCGATTGAGTAACAGAATAAAAATTCAATAACCTGATGATTTTGAGCCAGAGTTCTGTGAGTGCTAGTGATACTAAATAGACTGCAGAAAATGTGAAATAAAATGCCAATACAAATCAATGACATAAATATGAACCTAGAGTACTATGTTGTCAAGTATATAAATTTTGCAATGACAAGAAATACTACTGATCTGTCAGTATCCCAACAGTATTATTATTATTAGTAGTAGTAGTAGTATCATGAGTTAAGCGATTACAATTTGATTCCTATAGATTTATTCAAGTTAATATATTTATGCCAAATATATCAGACCATATTAGAGTTGAAATTTCTTTTTTCTTTTTACAAAAACTTCTTTGCTAAATGTAATAGATAGTGGTATTTAGGTGACGAAGAAAAGTAACTTTTGTTTTCAAAATTTTCCCCGAAATCTTCAGGTCAACAAAATGTGTTGTAAACAAAATGTACACCGAAAAATACAAAACTTTGGCACAGTAAACCTTAGTATAATTAAATTAAATTACACGAAAACAGTAGGATAACAAGATGGCGGTTTCGCTCCTAATTAACTGGGTCTCGATACCAAATGCTGACTGAACAGAAAATCAATAACATAGATATTGTAGATTTATTTAATTAGCCTCTGAAAACATGAACGAATACATTTGAAATGACTTTCAAGGTTCCAAATGGGAAGTCATAACCAGTAGAGTTCAACTATTACACAAGTGATACAATTAATCACCGACAGCATTATGTAATCATCACAACATATAACGAGTCAACTAATTTTGGGAACGTAGATTATTCGATTGTTACCCATTTGTAAAGATATTCCGTGCTTGTTACTTGACCCGAAGATCCTTGAGTTTCAGTTTGTGGAAGTTAGTGAGTCGACATTCTATGGAAGTTTTAAATTCAAAAAACGACTAAGTTGTTTTTAGATTTTTAATTTTTTATTAGACTAACCCCATTTGATCATCAATGTATTGTCACTAGCTAATTAATTTCGAGATAAAATTTCGAAGTTTTCAGAGAAAATTGATGGGATGTGAAGTAAACTGGCCAACACAAGAGAAAGTAACTCTAAAAATAACAACTGATTGTATTATCTCAAATCGAATGAGTTTAAAAATGTGGAAAGTTAGGATTATAGATCAATGACTAAAGACTATTATGGTCACTGTGCAACCTGAAGATTTTAATGTTGGGATCAATATAAAACTGTTAACGGACAATGCTAAGGAAAAAACTTATATTCCGCTGAATACTGGATTTTAGTGATTCACTGTCAATTATGATGAAACTTAATTTTAGATTTTAATTTCAGTAGATTACTGAATTACATTGTCCTTTGTTTCGGATTGAAAGGAGAAATATAGTAAACCGGTGAGAGCACTCAAGGATTCAAGAACAGAGGAACAGATGGGTAGAATGCTTTGAGGAACCCTTGAATAGACCAGCTTCACTGAATCCACCGGAAATCGAAGCAGCATACACATGCATTCCTATAAATGTCACTTCCGAGTGAAGAGGAAATTCGGAAAGAACACTGGAGGTGCATGGGACATACATTGTAGAAATCATCAAACTGCATCACTAGGCAATGCATAACTTGTAATCCTAAAGAGAGAATGAAAAGTGGAAGAGCAAGGGACACACTGTATCGTGAATTGGAAGCAGACATGCAAAGAATGAATAACAACTGGAAACCACTGGAAAGTTTCGTCCAGGACAGATTTGAATGAAGGATGCTGGTGGTTGACCTGTGCTTCTCAATGAGGGATTACAGGAGTAATTAAGTAAGTATTAAATGTATTCATACCCTGACTACTTTGATATGTCTACAAAGTGTTTCTTTCATTGGATGCGCACTGCTGAGGAGTCCCACAATAGGACGAAACGGCCGTTCAGTGCTTCCAGGTTTTCCATGGTGGTCTAGCTTCAACTGACTCATGATCTTAACCATTGAAATTACTACAATCTCCACAAAAACCCATCTGATATTTAAATAATTATCTAGTTAATATAGAATTTAAAGTGAATTATTAAGACTGAAAATTGATTATATGAATTTGTGTACAGATGACATTGATTATATTCTGGATCTTATATCAACTCAAAGTACATATACACAGATAACTCTCTTTGTTTAACTATTGAATTAAACGATTTAAAGGTTAGAAATTAACAACTTGTTGTTTGTAGTCTTTAAATTTTAATGATTCAGTTGCAGATTTAGATTCTATAGTGTTTATACTTTGAATCGGGTATTTAGGAATATCTTTATGTAAGATTAATTTCACTCTACTGAGCATTATTAGATGGAGTTATTACTAACAATAAAGTGACAAACTGTAATATTGTGGTGTATGTTACTGATGTCGATAGATATTAGTAGTATGTATAATCAGTCGAAAATGAAATGCCTGGCGGTAAAAGGTTAAGAAGATCGAAGAAAAAAAAACAAGAACAGAGAATGATTGGTATGAAAACGAAGGAACAATGAAATCTGAGACGATTGATTGACATTTTGCAAATGAAGTATTTTTTACTGTATGGTTCTCAGATTTTACTAAGACTTTGTGCAATTTTATATTCGTATTCATTCAATTACATTTCTAAGGATGTTTCAAATACTTAGTAATGAATAACATTCTGAATAAGTAACTGCAAGCTCAAACTTAATTACCTATCATAGTGTTATTTGAAATGATATTATTTCAATGAATTTCAAATATCTCCTTATTTAGTACTCGCTCAACTCCGGAAACATCACTAAGAGGTATAGCAAAAATATCCTAACTAACTATTTACCATATCAACTAATGGAAAAAAAATCAATCACTATGGTAACAAATTCATTTGATGTACTAAATAACATATAAGACCAATAGAGCAAATCATTTCAATATAATGAAAATGGCAAATCATTTCAGTCAAAGTTCATTTGAAGACTATAAGAGTATAAATAGTAAGTTATTAAGTTTAAATCTCATGATCTATTGTATGAATTAGTTACAAAAAATGGTATCCTTTCACTCAATTCATTGATTAGTATTCTTTATTACTTCGTACTTGAACAGTAAACAAAAAAATAGGTTACATAACAAATCAGCAAATTTAATCGATATGAACACTAATTTACAAAACGAAAAAAAACAAACAATGACAATGTACACAAATTAAACCATTTTGGTGACAATAATGGTATTTCGAAGAAATTAAAGATTGAACTCAATGAATGACGACAATTCATTGAGAAGTTAACTGTCAGAATTTATAAACACATTCATACAAACAAATAAAAACTTCATTACTTTTAACATTTGACATGATTATACATTAAAAGAGTTTACATTATGCATGTTGTTCTATTTTCTTTGATTTATGATTATCATCAAAAATGAATCAATAGTAAGTTCTTGAATAGCTTACAAATAGCTCCCTGTGAAGTGATAGCTATATTGTGGTGTGTGCTACTTATATTGACATAAGTAATATAGGATGTTAGTCGTAAACAGAAGGTCTGGAAGCAGAGAGACAAGAGGATCGAACAGTAAAGAATGGAAACAGAATGCAATTTGTATGAAAATACAAGAACAATGAAGTCTGAGTCATTATGAGACAATTGGTGGACATTTTGCAAATTAAGCATTTACTTTATGATTGTTAGATTTTATTAACAAGTCCTGTTAAATACATTTGATTGTCCCTCTTTGGTGTTCTTGTTCACTACAATATGATTAAAATATTTGACTTTCAACCAATTAGTTTGAATGAATTACAAATTACAATCACAAGTTAAGTTAGTTGTTGTAACGGCTCCTAGACGAAGCCGAAGAAATTCCATCCAGTCACATCCTAATACAATTTCCAGGATACCGACATGGCATACTATGACTAGACAGTTTTATACACTTCATGTTTGAGGATTGAGTGAACTATAATATTCTTTACAGTCTATACCAGAAACTATAAATGCATTGAGAAAGGCCCCTCGCTAATACTTTGGGAATGTATCCTCAATTTCGTGGATTAGTTGAAGTTAGATATTAACACCTTTGGATGCCGGCTCAATGGTCTAGAGGTTAAGCATTCGCGTGGAAGACCAATAGGTCCTACGTTCAAATCTCGTGAGGTGGGATCGTGGATGTGCACTGTCACGGAGGAGTCCCATAATAGGACGAAACGGCCATCCAGTGCTCCCAAGTTTTCCCTGGTCATCTAGCTTCAATCGAATCATGGATTTAACTATAAAATTACTAAAATCTCCACAATCTCCCCATTCTGATAACTAAATGAAATGTTTGTTTTATCCAAGGAAATTCCAAATTATTCATTATTTTTGTCTGCCAAATTAATCAATCTACAAACCCTTTATGAAATACAGACATACAGACATTAGATAGATATACAAACATATAGAATACAAAACACATCTATACAGCCATACAATTCTAAAACAGGATTGAATATTGAAAATTGAATAATGATGAGTCATGTTTCATTTAAACAAACAAACAAATAAACAATCTACATCAGATTATCTCTGATAGATCGATAGCATAGAGATAGACAGAGAGAAAGTTAGATACAATTTGACGAGAGTAGGTTAATTCCGTGTGCATTCAAATGAGTAAAGCATTTCCATGACAAATTTATTCAGGTTTTTTTTTGTTTTTACGAGATATAAAATCAAACAAATTCATTGTATTTGAGTGAATATGTAAAAGAAAAGAAAAAAAACATATACATTTCTATATATATCATGTGCATATCATGAATATGTGTATCTATTTTGGTGAATAATAGTAACTTAGTCACTGAAATAAAATGTAATTAATAATAATAATACTGTAGAAAAAGATAATTGAAAAATATCACTCTAGTGTACAAACATTAAAGTTTGTTTGTTTGTTTGTGATAAAGTGAAATTTCAGTGATTTCACTTGTAATTGAATAGATTACTTTTTAGTTGTATAAATGAAATAGCCAAAATCATTTATGTGTCGAACCGAATTGCCAAGTAGTATATTTAACATAAAAAAACAATCAAATGAAATGAAACAAAATTAGAGTAAAGAAAAGGCCAACTGCATAAAGAATATGGTTCATAAAGGAGTAAAATATGTGGGAAAAGAATATTGAAACATAATATTTAAAGGAAGATAGGAATATAAGTACATACCTTACTGTGATCGATGCTCATTCATGTCATTCAATGTTGCCAAACACTGTTATCAGCCAAGTCTTAACCAGGTCTAGTCTACAAGTACCAACACGACCTAGGACAACATTCAATGACTACATGTATTGATTTGACAGCATATTGTTTTCTTCCAACCTACTTTTATTTCAGAGGTATTCCTCATCGTGGAAAGTGGTGGTTGGGTAAACCTAACACATTTCGTAACCTATTCATTCGACCATGATTTTATCAAGTCATGAACCAGTTTATTATCAGTACTTAATCTCATCACTGCTCACTTCATTGTTATATCGTACTTTTCAACTACCAATATATATTTGACAAAAATGTGGAATTATAAATGCTAGAAATGACAGCAACGGTTACTCTCAAACTTGTACTATTAACAGTAATGGTGGTAATGAATGACAGCAAATTATACATTACAGACAAACACTTGACAGGATCTGAGATGAACACATGAAGCCTATGATCTACCAGCTATTTAATTGACTACCATGGTATAATAGGACCTTAATGAATGAGTTTACTCTAATAAACAGAACCTTACTCGATTTTATTGTCATTATTGGTAAGCCTGGCCACTGAGATTTTGTAATAACTCTACGGGTTGATAAGCAACAAATTCTTATCAATTTTCATAGGATAAATACAGATAATATAGCAGTATTCACATAAAGAACTGAGACTGATTAAGTTTACTTGAGGACATAAACGATTGGAACTTTCCAGTGTTGTAATAAACTCTATATTCGTTAAACCAGTTAGTTTCAATTATCACTTATTTGTCAATTGGATAATGATCTAGGGTCTGATGTTAGTCAAACTTCAGTATAAACATTGACATTCTGATGTGTAAAATCATAAACTGCACGTAACAAATCGGGTTACAGTTGAAAATACGAATCTATGGGTGTAAATATTAAACATACAATCTATGTAAATGGAATTTAATGAAAAATAATCAAAAACAATCAAGTTTTAGAAACAGTAAATCATAAATTCGGAGCGACTATAAAAACAGCTACTATTATTACATACAAAAATAAATTTGTATTAAACCTGTTTTTTTAACAATTAGGCATAAACTTACGAAGGACGTGCAGGTTGAGCTCGAACTAATTGTTTCGTCCCAAGTTTAACAACTGATTTGATAGTACGATTTGATGTTGGACCAGAAAGTTGTGGAATTTGGCATAATCCTTTAATGAATCGTGTCAAATTTTGAACTGGATTAGTGTTTGTTGGTAATACAGATGGCATCACAATGCACAAAGGTTGCTGTGAAGTAAAATCGTGTACAACTGATTCCCATATAAGTACAAGACCAGAACGATGTGACAAAGGTTGTAGTTTTAATTCACCCCAACCCAACTTTGAATAAAGAACTACAGAAGAAGGGATGGTGTCATTTGAAGGATTAGAGGATGAAGCCCAAGTTCCTTGATGAAGACCTGATATAAGTGAAGGTGGAGTTAATATTAAACCAGTGGATATATCGGACAATCCTTCTGTAGAGGAGGTATTTCCAGGTGGCACTAATATTTCACCTAATATGCCAATTGAATCCTGTCCAGATTTTAATAATTGCGTCATGAATCGATATGTCAAAATACTTGATGGACACCAATCAGGAAGAAGTGTAACATCTAATCTATAGGATACAGAAACGAGAAATACATTTAGATGGATCCTGGAACACATTAACTAACCAACAAAAAAAACAACCTCAAAACTGTTGTTGAATATAAAAACGATCTTAATTGGTCGCTAGAGAATTATGTCAAGTTAATGAGATTAGTCTATTTTAACGATATTCTTTCGTTTCATGTAAGTTGGAAAACAGAAAAAGAAAACAGTTTCATGATATTAATCACCAGAGTAAACTAGAAAAAAAGGAAAACAAATCTATTGAAATTTTTTTAAAATATTGTCGTTAGAAATCAGTGCATTGTCGAATTTAGCAGATTAATTAAATAGATACTATCCAAGGAGACGACTTGATATAGGAAAATCTATCGAATTAAGATTATTTATGGTATTTTCACTGATTATTCTTAATGGTTTCTTCCATACCAGTAAGTCAACAATCTGTAGCTCAACAACAACCTTCAGTGTTTTCTTTTTTTCCTCTCTCTCTCCCTCCTATTTAGTTTCTAAAGTTACCAATGAAACCGCATGTTTTGTATATGATTCATACAATACAAATGTTGGTGTACTTATCTGTTAGAAGTATTTGAATATAGGCTTTATTTTAAAAAAGCAATGAAAATTCAGCATACATAGCACACTGAATATAAATTGTGACGATAGACGATGAATATATATATACGAATAAGCTGTATAATAATATCACAAGATTCTATTTGAATAAGTAAGATTATTCATTGATGTCTGATTCCAATTCACGACATAGTGCGTTCATTGGTCGTCCTCTTTTCATTCGCTCTTTAGGATTCTAAGTTACGCATTGCCTAGTGATGCAGTTTGATTATTTCTTAATTGTATGTCCTATCCACTCCCAACGTCAATTCCTAATATCCTCTTCAGCTGGAAGCTGGTCTGTTCTCTCCCACCGTAAGCTGTTGCTGATAATATTCAGTCAACGGACATTGAGTATCTTATGTAGACAATTGTATACAATTACTAATAATTTTTAATGATGGTTGTAGCTGTTCTCTAAGTTCCAGCTCCATACTATAATAGAACTAACTGTCTTGACGTTCGTATTGACGATTCTGACTTCGATGTTGGTTGACAGTTGTATTGAGTTCCACATGTTCTTCAACTGTAGGAATGCTGCTCTTGTTTTGCGAATTCATACCTTCACATTTTCATCAGGTCGTTTATCAATGATTCTGATCAGATATGTGGAAGTTTCCACCTCTTCTGTGGCTTTGTCATCAAGTGAGATTGTGTTAGTACTCTCTTTATCTTATTTCAGAGTCTTGCTTTTTCCCCTGTGTATGTTTCCCCTGATGCATAGGCTGGCATTAAACTGGCTGTCTTCATCTGAATTTACTCGTGTGTATGAGATAGAACAGTTAGGTGATGTGCGAAGTCCAAATAGTCTAACTACATCCGAGCTGTCCATTGTATTTCGTGCTTCCAGTGAGATGTAGAGGTGTTCATAATCCAGTCATTCACCGGAAGGAAGAGAAATGGGTAGAGTAAGCAGCCTTGTTTGACACCATTACTCACTTTGAGTGCATTAGTCAGCTGTCCTCGATGAACAACTTTGCAGTGTATTTTGTCCTATGAATTTCGTGCGATGTTGACAATCTTCTGAAGTACACCATAGTGTCAAAGAATGTTCAATGAGCTTCTCGTAACAACGGCGAACTCAATGTAATTAATTCTAATTATAAATATTGTAAGGTTTATATTTACCCATTACTAACAACCTTGTTATAACTGTTCAATCTATATTAATTTAGACATTGAATTTTTCCGAATAATATACTCTCTTTGTTATTATTATTATTATTATTATTATTATTGGTTAACAATACGAATAAACTTGATCATGTCTTTTAATCGGCATGTATTTTGTTTTTATTTCAAGAAAAAATACCTAATATATCACTCTATTTATAGTTAAAGATGGAATTCGGGATTTGCTACCGGGTATATTCGAATAATGTATTCTCTTGGATATATACAGAAATTGTGTACAATTCTAATATTTCAATGGTAGCGTCTTTTTGACATTAACTGATGAAGATTCAAATCCCAAGTACACTAATAACCCTCTCATTACCGTCGAAAAACTTAACAGATGGCAGATAACCTCAATATACGGCTTTATGCTAAATGGCTTTAACTATCTAAGAACAGTGTAGGGAATTTAATTACTTTCAAAGTTGAATTCACGAGTCGATATGAGCTATACCACCAGTAACAACCCGGAAGCACTCGACGACCCTTTCGTTCTAGAATGGGACTCCTCAGCAGTGCGCATTCACGATCCTGAACGCGGGACTCGGACCTAAGAGCCCTCATCTCGCGCACAAACGCACAACCTCTAGATAACTGAACCGGCATCCAACAGTGTTAATGTCCAGTGCTTCCATGTTTCCAATGACGGTCTGTCTTAGATTGACTCGTCAATTTGACTGTTAAAATACTACAATTCGCACAAATCCCCATACTAATTTAATTACTAAAACAATAGACAATAGGGTAACATTTTAGAACCTAAACTGATAAGATTCAAAATTATTAAAACTAACTTTGGCAAATGCTTCACCATTGACCACCAATTTGGAACCGTTTGTGATGTATAACTTCCACCTAGAAGTGCTGTAAAACCTTGTATAGCAAATAAAGCACATGATTGTGATGCTATTCCATGTCCTGGGAATATATAGATTACAGGACGTGTAGTATTTAATGCAGTACCAGTTGATATACTATTTAAATCAGACTGTATTGTAGTAATCGGATGTTGATGTATGACATGATCAACAAATGATCGTAATCCTTCAAAACCTACATATGTAAAGTAAAATATCATTTCAATTTTAGTTGATTGAACATAATCAATAAAAGAAGGAACTATTATATTTTAAAATATTGAATATACCCTACTAGGAAGGATCAAATACTGGAAAGTTACTATTTTTTCGGGGAGGGGGGGGAATATCTTACAAAGTATTACTGTTTACATTTTTTTGCTTGTTAGACAAATGGATCATTGTATTCTTCTATTTGTTGTATGTTTTACTTTACTTAAATTATTGTTAATAAATTACGAATATGTTCTAATTGTTCTTTCAATTATTGGATTAATTATGAGGATATTGTAAAATTTTCTATTCAGTTTATTCTGTAGTTAGGTAATTAAATAGAGTTTTGAGTTAGAATGAGAAGATAAACACATTTGCCAACTTCATCTTTTGACTGAATGATTGGTCAAAAGTAGCTCAATTAGTCTTGGGAATATTCCATGATAAATTTAGAAAAAAGACTGATAATCCATTTCTTTGTTCTTATTGGATAAATTAGTTGACCATAACCAACATATACTCTGGTACAAATATGCATTAGCTTTTATTGCCGCAGTAGATTAACAAGACGGGATGGAATTAACAGGATGAATAGTAAATTAATTCAAATAATCATAAAAGCAAAGAAGCGATCAAAAGGTATATATGAACAAAAGTTCATAATTACCGGAGAAGAGACTAGCAGTACACTGAAACAAACACTATCCAAAATGATAAACAACAATAAATTTAGCATGGAACAAGATTTCCTAAACACAATTGCATCCTACACTAATTGAAATGCCTGTTGTATCCATACAATGCCAAATACCTAACAGGCTTGAACGTGTTAATCTATTGGACACAATTTTTTTATATTTCTAACGCATCTTGTATATCACCTTACAGTTAACTTTCATACATGTACGCATTGAATTAAATAGTGATAATTGTGTGTATGCCTCTGCCTACGCATTCATTTAATCGTTTAAGCTGTTTAAACTACCTAAATTCACACGTAGCTGACAATGATATATATTTGCATAGTGAAAATCAATGAACTCCTCTCTCTGTCATCGTTAACCCGTTGCACCTCTTCAGTCATGTGCTTAAGTTATACCATTCTAGTTAATTCTCTTAAACTTATAGATGCAATACACAAGTGATGATTGTAATTGTACTGTAGTGGACGCTAATCACAAAGAAATTTGTAGGTAGTGTGTAGCGGAAAGTGGTGTGAAAATTGCAATAATTGTACAACAGATTTAAAATTTTCAGTGCATCAAAAGCATAGCGATGGCAGAACACTTAAAGGCCAATAGAGAAAACAGTTTGAATTGTAGAACACTGGAAGACGAAAATGGACGATTGATGGTTATATATAAGTTTTATGTAAATACTTTGTAACTTCTCTAAACAAAATATACATAAGTCTTGCTTATTGTCGTGTTTTACAGTAACTGTAATCTAATTAGCTTGATATTGTTTTACTTGAATCTTCCCATTGATGTTTTAGGACTGAAATTGATCAGTCTCTTATTGGCATAAAACATCAATGGGAAGATTCAAGTAAAACAATACCAAGTGAATTAAACGTCACCCATTGTACAAGCAATTGGCTATCAGGACTCAATAGCTAAGTGGATAACGCGATGGCGTTTGAAGCAAACGGTACTGAGTTCGAGTCCCAGAGTGAACATCAACTCTGAGATGCAGGTACATCCAGCTGACAAGTCCCAAACAGGATGAAACGCGCGTCCTGGATTCCACTGCTAGCCACTATCCATCTTTGCCAGTAACTGTAATCTGTCTGACTGATAAACGAAGTATAAAATAATCAAACAATTAGTCGCTACAACAGTTTCACATAATCCAAAATAATAAATAAATAACTTGATATAATCACACTTTTTGCTGAAAAATTCAGCTATAAATAATTAATTACAACTTACCAGATAAATTTCCATGAATATTTAATGGCTTCCCATTCAAACGCCAACTTGCTTCTATAAGAATGTCAATTTTAGCCATACGAGTGTTGATTTGTGTAAGTACAGTATGTGGACGACCAGATTTATCCACTGGCCAACATGTTCCAGTACCAGCAATCGGTGTGATAATGTGTAATTTTATTTGATCACCAAAATTTGAAAATTTCTTTAAATAAGGCCACCAACTCTAACAAGTAAACAAATAATGAGAAATATTTTGACTTGGTTTTGTACAATATTGATAAATGTAAAAAAATTCGAAAACTGATTGTATTAAAATAGATTCCTTATGTTAGATTATTAGGATTGATTACTTATTCTTCGTAGTTTGTTCTTTTAAATAGTAATTAAAAGGAAACATCAGATAATTTTACTCTGATCATCTTTGAAAAAATCTTCATCATTTCGAATCCGCTTTTTGTCATAATTTTACATCATCTCGAGAATTAAAGAGAACTACACAATTATTTTAATCTAGTTTGACATCTCATTCTAACGATCTTCCAAGATATCTTCTCTCCTAACTGACATACAATTACGCTACTAAGGATAAAAATTCAATGTTTGGGATGATCTACGATCAGGCTGTTTTATATCAACACAACCTTTTGGTTGGAATTATTCATCGAACCTGTAAGAGCTGAGAAGACATTACAAGTTATGCTGATCGAATAAGTTTGACCAGATGAGGGTTTTGTTTCTGATTATTATTAGTGCTAGTTTGATGTATTTTGACAAAAATTGGTTCAGGTTAGCAATGAAATCTAGGGGTGGGCGTTTCGAATATTAACAACAAGAAAACTCCAACCGTTATTTATATATGTATATATTGCCTCAAACACTGTGAACAAAATAACGGCTATTTAGAATCAGTAACTTAGTAGGTGTTGTAAACAATAAGCACTATGTTTGAGTGTCAAAGTGAACATCGACACCGGAATTCACATCCATCCAGCTGATGAATAAAAAATAAGACGAAACAAGTGCCTCAAATTTCACTGCTAGACCCTACATATCTTTATTAAAAACTTGAAAAACAATCTGATGGGAATGCATATATCCTACTAACAGAAACTAATTAAATGAAATAATTGTGATCTGTAAAATTTTGTTTAAAAACATTTGTAATACTTTTTTTGTTTTTGAAAAAACACAACTACGAAATGGTATTCAATTAATCCATCATAACAATAATTAATAATAATAATAATAGAAGTAACGATAGTAACTAAGTGCAGTGGATCAAACATAGAAGAAACTAACATTATTCCTTCTCTAAGTGGTTAAAAGAGAATGATTAGGCGAGTGTAAAAGAATTTTAAAAAAAGGATTATACTGAATTGCATCAAAAACACTTTTAATATTCCTCTTATTCAAAATTTAATCATCATCATTTGATGGTCTAGTCTATAATGAATCTTGATTTAAATTCTTTAGAAAGATGAAACTGATAGATTTTAAAGGAAAGAAAAGTGTATGCAAAAAGAATTAAATGATATGACTTGATATATTAAGGAAAATCTCGAGAAAATGTAAGAGATTTTTGTATACTAAGTTTTATTGACAACTTGATTACTAGTTTATGTAGCTGAAGACCATTGCACATGACGTTTGATGTTGCATTTATAAATGAATATAGTTTGAAATATCGGACTTCAGTTAGTATTAATTGACACTAGTCGATGAGTTGGATTAACGGTGTCAGGATAAATAATTTACCTCATGAAATAGATTTTACTATCAAAGACACCTTGTTAACAAATGCTATTGATCATGGAACTTATGTTTGGAGATTATCCCGATTTGCTTAACTACTTGACGCTTACTACATCATAGAAACCCATACACATAGTTCCCTTTATTATCTTACCAAGAGTAAGAACGAAGATTGGTGTAGAATAACGAATGGATTCATTTTATTTCTTTAAGTTCTCATCAACTGCTTACAACCTTAAATATTTGAAAATCAACGTTATTACAGATTTTGACATACTTATATATACGAGGGTGATTAAAGATGAATGCAATACAATACACAGCCATCTAAAGTTTGTTAACCCCATAAGTTCCAATCACTATTTCAATGTTCTGGAACTTTCCTTCGAAAACTTTATTTATCCGAAACAAATTTTTATGACCTTATTAACTCTTGAAATCTTCCGTACATCATGATACATATATTCATCTTTAATCACTATCTTATGTATAAGTATGTCAAAATCTGTAATAACGTTGATTTTCAAATATTTTAGGTTGTAAGCAGTTGATGAGAGTCTAACGAAATGAAATGAATTCATATTATTCTGAGTCAATCTTCGTTCTTGTTCTCTTATAGAAACTCATGATGAGCGATTAGAAATGAAGCTTAAACTAACGTTGGTTACGAATTCTAAATAATTTCATATAAGATGGGTTTTGTAGATATTATAATGATTTCAATGGTTAAGATCATGAGTCAGCTGAAGCTAGACCACCATAGAAAACCTGGAAGCACTGGACGGCCATTTCGTCCTATTGTGGGACTCCTCAGCGGTGCGTATCCACGACCTCACCCCTTGCGACATTCAAACCCGGGACCTACTGGTTTCGCGCGCGAGTACTTAACCACTAGACCACCGAGCCGGCATCCGACGGTGTTGATGTCTAACCTCAACTAGTCTACGAAATTCAGCGACACATCTAACATTGTCTTCAGTGAGTTACTATCTCAAAACAGATCCGATTGAACTCCACTGGCCACTACTATATAAGGACGAAATGGTCATCCAGTGGATGCACACTGCTGAGGAGTGCTACAATGGGACGAAACGGCCTTCAAGTGGTTCCAGGTTTTCTATGGTGGTCTGGCTTCAACTGACTCATGATCTTAACCATTGAAATTTCATATAAATCAATATATTATTGAATAAACTACAGAAAATTGGACACCAATGTTGATCTAACCACTTGAATTGAAACTATCGGTTGTATAAAAAAAACCCAACTATTGGGCATGCATTCATATTTCAGTTCGTTTATTAAACATTAAGCAGATAAATTCTAACTGATTCCACTCAATAAATAAATGTACAGTTATACAAATGAACAATATTAGACCGTTAAAAAGAAAAGGAGAATAAAACTAAAAATACTTCTGTTTTTTATTTTGAAAAAAACAAAACAAACAAAACATTTATAAATTCAAAGCAAAAAACAAAAAAAATGGAATAAAAATAAAACTATAAGGGGGTGAAAGTTACAAAATATTATCCAATCACAATTGATGATGTAATACACAAATATTCAAATTTGCTTAGTTACATCTATAGAAACATTAGAGAAGTTTATCTGGAAATCATTTAACATTTTTAAATGGAATAAAAAATATATATACTAAAATAAAATGGGTAATAAATTCATTTTTTGTTCATTCATATAAAGTACACATAAATATACTAATCAAGGGATTTGAATGATTATATAATAAAAATAGATTGTGTACTAAAATAAAAGCTAATGTACAACACTCATGTACTTGTGTGTTTATATGAATTAATATGGGGTTTTTTTGTTTCATTTTCACAAATAATCATTCAAATGATTACCATTTACAAAGTGAACAGTTTTAAGGTTGTTAAATTATATAATGGTTTATCAGTTACTATTCACGGAAAAAAAATAATAATACGATTAGATAAATAATGATATTTTATATAGTTACTATAAAGTGAAATGATTGAATTTAGATAAATCTATCATCAAATTCTAGCTCACACGATAATATTCTTACTCCAAGACTGGATTAATTGAAATTCCATCGTGTATGAAAGTTTTGAATATATACAACGTCAGTTTACGATTGGAAATAGTCAGCAGGAAACTCAACACTTAGGTTTCATGTATCTGGTTCTCCTTATGGAATTCGAACCCGAGTCACCCATATTCCCAATCTTACACGTTACCACAAAGTGATACAGAGAGCATCAGCTAGTTTAAGATTGTAAGTAAGGTTTGCTGATGAGTGTCAACTACCATGAAACTCAAGTAAACGGTTTCCTGTTGACTAGCCCCAAATACATTAATTAAAAACAGTTTACACGATCTCGAGTTATATTGCAACTTGATCTATAGAGTTGGATCAGCGCTAAAGGTCAGATAAACGTTCTACTAATCACTAATCGGTAATTAATCAATGAAAATATCTTAGAACTCACAAGTTACCAGAAATCTACCACAAAAAATACTAATTAGGTGCTGTATGAATAAAATTAAAATACGAACTCATCAACTCAGAGTTTTAAGCAGTGAATATATTAATCGGTATATGAAAACTCTACAACAGAGGTGAATCATACAAATTTTTTATGTGTATATTTTAAAAAAATATCTTAATAGTATTTATCTGCATACACTTCATCAAGTATATTGTGTATTGTGGAAGAAAATATTTTCCCTCAAGATAGATACACTTGTCATAACGCTTTATTATCAAAGCGAAAGCATTATTTATTAAAATAGATATGTAAACGTTTGTTTACAACTTTTTAAAATAAGCAGAGATGATGATGGCTAACAATGGAACCCATGACCCGCTTTCATCTTATTTAGGACTTGTAAGCTGGATGTACCTCCATCCCAGAGTTGTTTTCCACTCAGGGACTCGAACTCAGTACCGTTCACTTCGAACGCCATCGCATTATCCACTCAGCTACTGAGTTCAGATGGCCATTATCTTGTGCTGGCAATTGCCAAGTATAACGGAACGCGCTTCCTGGATTCCACTGCTAGACACCATCATCTTCGCTTATAATGCTTGTGACTTAAGGCAATATCGAGGCAGTCTGCGCAGGATGCCCATATGCCGATAACAGTCTGATCAATTGCAATCGTAAATATCAATGGGAAGATTCAAACAATCAAATTAAAAATGAATTAGACTTTTTGACTGTTTATATTTTATTTTCAAAGCATAATAGACTGATATAACACAGGAGACCATGATGGAACGAACTAAAAACAATATCAACACCATTCTCAAGCGCACGATAGAAAATCCAGCTAATAAAAGCAACTGAAGGTTAAAGCATCAAATTCTTATGGTCATTAATTGAAGACAAAGTGTTTTTTTGTGGTGCAACACTGTTTGACAAAAGGCTTCTTAAAAACAGAAGCATACCTAAAACATTATACCAAGATTCTTATACATGG